CGCAGTAGCCCAAAAAGTAGCTAGTTATTTAAATTTAAACAATGCAAGCGCATACACGGGTCACTCTTTACGACAAACTTCAGCAACACTTTTAATTGATGGAGGCGGAAATCTAGAATTCCTCAAACGACATGGGGGCTGGAAATCAAGCACGGTTGCCGAAGGATATATAAAGGATTCAATAAGAAATAAGAACGATAATGCTTAAAAAATTTTAAACCCTCATGATTTGCCAACATCGAGAATGATTGCTGAAAGTTGTTCTCGACCATCAGTATCATCAACAATTACCAATGCGTATCAAGAGTCGGGAAAATTTTTGCACGGTTTCAATTTTGAAAATGTCTCATCAACTAATTGTACTTTTAATATTACTATAAATAAAAATGATGTTTAATTGTTGTTAATGACATTTGTATTGTTGCTTTGTGACATGTTTCATATTGTTGCCATGACAACATTTTTCCCTCCGCCGTAAAGAAATGGGAAAAAAAACTGTTGCCGGCGGAGACATCAAACTTCGACAGGATCAAGTTAGATAAGTAATGTCATCATTATTTGAAGTTTGAAGAAAAAACATATTATCTGCTTATAATCGTATTGTTGCAGCTCTCAAGTGGATAGAATTGTGGTATAAACATATTAGGGATATCCACAAAATCCACAAAAGCTTTCAAATCTATTTTTATACAATTCTCCTATAGAATATACAAAAGAAATAAAATGCCTAGGGATGCAACTGGACTCACAATTAAGTTGAACAAGTCATCATATACACCCGCTAAGACTATCGTGCCAAGCTGGACTAAACATTATGAAATCTGCATCACAAAAAAAATTGGGGAGCAGATTTTCTAACTCTAATAAATTTATATTGAGCTTTAATCAGATCAAAACTGGACTGGACTACGTATAACACCGAAAATCAAACTTTGCTCAAAGCTTTGGATACTTTTCAGAGTTGGGCCGTTAGATTTGCTCTAGGAGCATATTGCACCAGTCCTGTGGACATTCTACTCTGTGAAGCTGGACACTTAAAAAGAAAATACTTAACTCTATCGTATGTCTCGAATATAAAATCTAACCCAAAAAATTCAGCTCTTCATCATGCTGTTGCTAACAGATATAAATTTATTAGATATGGTTTTTTGTTGTTAATGATAAAAATAAGATCTATCTAAAAACTTTATACATTTTTAAACGTTATTTTTTATATTTAGATTTTGTGCAATTTTGTTATCTGTAATGGCAACAAAGAATTGACTGACAAACCATTGTGTCCCGTCTGAACAAAGGTTTACATTGGGAAAAAAAAGTGTACCAGTTTTATATGAAGGGAAGTGTACAATGTAAACTGTCAATTGTATTTACTTTTGGAACAAAACATAAAGTCAGTCTTAACTGTATACTCTACTGGTTCATTTCATTTAAAAGTTTTAACAATACTCGAGTTGTATTTTACTTTTTTTTTGATAGATATTAACATTTACTTTGATAGATATTTCACCTCCATTCATTTACTCGAATATTTATTAGAAAAATGATTACTTGGTACTGGTACCATTTAGAATAATCTAATTCCACGAGTACTTACAGGCAAAATAAAAAAAGATTATTTTTTACTAAAAGAAGGCCGAGGGTCCCATGAAGAATGGGTACGCGGTGATAGTAACGTATCTATTTTTAAATGGATGGACAATAGATCTGTGACAATGGCTTCTACATCTGCAGGTTCTTTGCCATTGGCTGACGTACGAAGATAGGATAAAAAAAATTCAAAGTACATTCTGGTGCCTTGCCCAAAAATTTTTAAATAAAACCACTCAGTGGGAGGAGTGGATTTGTGTGACAGATTTATTTCATTTTATAGAATCTGTATCCGCACTAAAAAATGGCCTGTACGTGTCTTTTGTCACTTTATTGATCTTGCATTGACCAATTCATTGATAGAGTATCGTCAGGATCGTGCAATGTTTGGAGATTAGAGATCAAAGGTAATATATTTACTGAAATTTAAGCTGTATGTTGGAAGGTCCCTAGCTCTAGGTGGTAAGCAAAAAAGCGGGAGACAAGCTAGTGCGTCTATTCCAAGAGAACCGAAGTCATCCGAAGATAAAGAGTCCATAGTTCCTGTATAAAGATCTTATGTTGTCTAGTTACTGCCTATAGATGTAAGAAAAATCAGTAATGACCATTTGCCAATATGCTCTGTCAGCAATAAAAATTCATACATCACCATCATCATCATCTTTGGCTCTACAACTCTTGGTGGATCTTGGCCTGTTCAAATATTAGTCTCCATTCCCCCTATCTTTCGCCCTGGCTTTCCAATTTTGACCCCTAGATTCCTCAAGACATCTTTGACTTTGAGTTTTGAATCTAGATCTTGGCCTGCCTCTCTTCCTGGTTCATACTGGCTTATAGCGTTGATACAACTCAAAATTGTAGCGCCTGCGCCATATCCCGCTTTCTTATCTATCTATCTAATTAGCCTTCTTCGGTCCATCTTTGGACATAGGCCTCCCCAATCCTTTTCCATTCTTCTCTGTCTGTCGCTACAGTCATCCATCTAGAGCCCACGTGCTTCTTGATATCATCTGCCCATCTCATTTGGGACCTTCCTCTGCTTCGTTTATATTCCCACGGTCTCCAACTTTTTTTTTTGTTCCATCGGTCTTCTTTTTGTCTTATATTGTGTCCGGCAAATCTCCATTTCAATTTTGCAACTTCTTGTCTAACATCCCTCACTTTTGTTTTCTCTCTTATCCACTCGTTTCTCTTCTTATCCATTAGTCTTATGAGCAACATTTGCCTTTCCATTGCTCTTTGGGTTTTTATGATTTTGTCCATGTTTGCTTTTGTAGATGTCCACGTTTGGAAACCATAAGTAAGAACAGGGAGTACGCATTGATTATATAGTTTAGTCTTAAGATGCTGTGGATATCTTTTGTTTTTAAGAATGTAGCTTAGTTTGCCAAATGCCGTCCATGCCAGTCTAACTCGTCTCTTGATCTCTGCTGTTTGGTTCTCTTTGTTAAGTTTTATAGTTTGACCAAGATATATATAATCCTTAACTTGTTCTATTTCATCTTGTCCGATTCTCATTGTGATGTCTTCATCTGTATTTGTTATAGTTTTGGTCTTGCTGTAATTCATATTAAGGCCTATCTTTCCAGCTTCTACGTCCAGTTCTTTCATCATTTCAAATAATTCTTCTTTTTTATCGGTTATCAATACGATGTCATCAGCGTACCTTAGATGGTTCAAGCATTGTCCACAAATTTTTATACCTTTTTTTTCCCATTCTAATCTTTTAAAAGTATCTTCAAGAGCCTGATTGAAAAGTTTAGGTGATATTGTATCACCCTGTCCCACGCCTCTACTTATTTGTAAAGTTTTTGTTTCTTCATATACTTAATTGTTGTTTTGGCTTCCTTATATATATTGGTTATTAGTTCCGTATATCTGTGGTCAATTCGGCTGTTAATCAAAGAACTTTTCACTGCCCAATGTTCGACACTGTCGAAAGCCTTTTCGAAATCTATGAACGCCATATATAGAGGAATGTGGTATTCATTTGCTCGTTCTATAAGTATTTTCATACTTAGTAAATGGTCACTTGTGCTGAATCCCTTTCTAAAACCAGCTTGTTCGTGTTCTTTCGACTGGTATCCATCGAATGTTGTCGTCAATCTATTGGTTACTTACGCTTTCTTGTACTCCTTCGTATATGTGTCTAAGTATTCGTCTTTAAAGCGGCCTAACAGTTGTTCGTCGCTTTTTACCATAGTCCATGTCTCTGACGCGTATGTCATGACAGGTTTAATAGGAGTTTTATATATTAGTATCTTGGTTTTTCTGCTAATTATGTGTGATGTTAAGAACTGCTTTAGTCCAAAGTAAGCTCTGTTTGCCAGGTATATTCTTCTCTTTAATTTCTACGCTTACTAGGTTGCCGTTATTTAATTGTGTTTCAAGATATATAAACTCCGAGACCCCTTCGAATGTGTGTGTTTGTGTCACCAGATCTTGTAGTGCCGCTATTTGTGTGCTGTTCGCGACCTTCATGTATTTTGTTTTGGATACGTTAACCTGCAGTTCCATTATCTTCGCGGCTTTTTCTAACGTTTTAAAAGCCTGTATCAGGTATCTCATATATAACAACTCTTTATATAACAACTCAGTAAACATATATCTGTTGACTTAGTAGGTTTTACTACATGATCTGGCATGCTAGTTAATGATTTTGGTATAAAAACATCATTTTTACAAAAAAAAAATACTTAGTATGTTTTGCTTGTAAACAGAAGATATCTTTATTAGATTATCTTACTATCATACTTTATTAAAACACATTATTTTAAACAAAAGTTGACACATCATCCTTTATTGGTTTCTTTAAACGATAGTGCACCAATCAAGAAACTTATTTATATAGCTAAAAATAATATAGTATCACAATGAGAAAATAGCACAGAGCAAAGGCACTAGCGCATCTGTTAAGGGAACTAAATCACGTACTATTTTCATGTTTAGTAAATCCCAGGAATACCTGCAAAAAAAATTTATATTATCAAAAACATTATAAATGTACAATTATGCAAACAATAAACTCTATGTATATCAAATATAATTTAAGGCGTACGATCGACAAGCAAATACTTATATTTAGGTAAACATTTACTAAAAAGACGATACATTGTTTTTTTTAAGCCGTTTTCTCTATTCGGATTGCCGAATATAGACCTCTCCTAATTCTCGCCATTCATATCTGTTGTTTGTAAGACGTTTTCACATTGGCCCTGCAGTCTTTGGATTCATGTGGCCGCCAATTTCCTATTTCTTTATTCCATTGGCCATCCGTGAGACGTTTGTTATGTCCAGCCCATTTCCATGTCAATTTAGCTGCCTGTTCAACAGCATCTTTTACTTTTGTTCTATTACGAATGTCTTCATTGGTTTTATGGTCTTTAAGTGAGATACCCAGCATTTGTCGTTCCATAGCTCCCTGAGTTTTTCTGATCTTCTCCATGTTTATTTTAGTGAATGTCCAGGTTTGGGCTCCAGATGTAAGCACAGATAGGATACAGGAATTGAACACTTTGGTTCGCAGTCTTTGAGGTATATTTTTTATTTTTAAGTATGTATGAGAGTCTTCCGAAAGCTGCCCATCCCATTTCCACACGTCTGCTTATTTCGGTAGTCTGATTTTCTTTGCTTACCTTGACATTTTGACCCAAATATGTATATTCATCTACATGTTCTATCTCTGTCCCTTCGATGTTTATCATAAGTTTGTCATCTTTGTTTGACATTAGTTTAGATTTGCTGAAATTCATTTTTAGTCCTTTTTTTAATGATTCTGTGTGTAGCTCCTCAATTGTTCTCAACCGCGACTAGTTCTCGGACGCGACTAGTTCGCGCTCGAGACGCATCGCCCCGCCCTTCATTTTTCCTATTGGTACCTGACCTGGAAATCCCTATTTATCGCTACTTCAGCTTGTATAAAAATAGGCGATTTTCAGGTCAACCAGGTCAGTCCTTCAAGGGCTCTTCGAGAGCTTAGTGCTCTCGGGGCTCTGCTTCCTTTTTAGCTTTCCATACTCTGTGGCTGAGTATTATTCAACTGAATATTTGGTGATTTTATTTCGACAACCTTAATATCTTTGTCATGTAAGAAATAACTTGCCTTTGTACAGGCAAGCCACCGAAGACTACAACCTGATGTTTATTTCGACTTTCTAAGTTGTAAGTCATGTAAGAAATAGCTCGTCTTTTTCAAGACGATCTCATCAGAAGAAAATTCTACAAGTCTATATCCAGTTAAAAGACTTGGGTAGAGGTGCTTTCGTTGACGTCTCCGAAGCCCTCTACAGAGCACCCGAGGCAATAGAAGGATGTTAGACCCCTATTTATTCCCCCGCGGTGACACAATCATCCTATTCAGTGCATTCCACGTATCGGCTATTAGTACTACATCATCTGCGTATCTAAGATGATTCAAGTATCTTCCGTTAATAGGGATTCCCTTATTTTCATAGTCCATTGACTTAAAGAATATCTTCTATGCGCAGCTGTAAATAATTTTGGAGATATTGTGTCCCCTTGTCTTATTCCTCGGTTGATTTTTACTGGTCTTGTTTCGATTCCATTACCAATCATTTCAGCTTGTTCGTAAATATTATGTATTAGTATTATGTAATTAGTATTCATGATAAGCTGATGTATTGCCTTCACAAAAAGGGACTAGACGAGAACGATTTTAAAATTATCCAAACGCTGTACTTTAACCAAACTGCAGCAGTTAGAACAGAAGCCGGTGACACAGAAATATTCAATCTCAAGCGAGGTGTACGACAGGGGTGTGTACAATCACCACTACTTTTCAATATATATTCGGAAGAAATCTTTGCACGAGCACTAGAGCAATCAAGAGAAGGTGTTAAAATTAACGGCAGAGTTCTAAATAATGTACGATACGCCGACGACACGGTCCTAATTGCAGAGAGCGCACAGGATCTCCAGACACTCTTAGATCGCGTCAGATCGATCGGAGAACAATACGGCCTCAGCATTACCGTCAAGAAAACAAAAACAATGATTGTCTCCAAAACATCCATCCCTCCACCCATGGCTTTAAACGTGAATGGTAACATTATCGAAAATGTCGAGAAATATCGATATCTAGGGTGCTGGATAACGAAAGATATAGATCCAGACATAAAAATAAAATCGCGAATTGAACAAGCAAGAAATATCTTTTTAAAAATGAAACAAATGTTTACGTCCCAAACACTCAATCTCAAAATCCGATACCGAATGCTGAAATGTTACGTTTACAGCACCTTACTACATGGAATGGAGGCCTGGACCTTCAAAATCAACTCACTCAGGCGTTTGGAAAGTTTTGAAATGTGGTTATTTCGAAGGATGCTGAAAGTCCCCTGGACAGCGCATATGAGCAACGAGCAGGTCCTACACAAGATGGGTATCGACAGAGAACTCTTAAAAATAATGAAAACACGGAAAACCTCATATTTGGGACACATATACAGAAATGAGAAATACCAGCTACTGCAGCTTCTTATAGAGGGGAAGGTAGAAGGAAAACGTGGTCCTGGTAGACGGCAGGCGTCCTGGTTGAAGAACATTCCAATCCAAACCAATCCAAACCAGTCCACATTGAGTGGACTGGTTTGGATTCTCAATCTTTAATAAGAAAAGCCAGGGACAGAAATGATTTTGCTGAGGTTATCGCCAACCTTCATTGAAGACGGCACCCAAAGAAGAAGAAGAAGTATTCTGTACCTGGAGTCGATCCGATTGTTGACTAATACTTCTTCTATTACCCACACTTCTACACTATCAAAAGGTGTTTCATAATCTATAAAAGCTAGACATAATGGGAGATTGTATTTGTTAGTCTTTTCTAATAGGATTTTTAAAGTGTATAGATGGTCACAGGTGCTATACCCTTTTCTAAATCCGGCTTGTTTTACTGGTTGATATCTGTCAAATTTAATTGTTAACATGTTTGTAATAATCTTTGTAAAGGTCTTGAAAAGTTGTGAAAGAAGTGAAATTGGTCGATCATTTTTCAGGTCTGTGGTGTCTCACTTTTTGTGTATTAGTATTGTTTTAGCAGTATTCCATTGTTCGGGTATGTTGCTTTTTAAAAGACATTAAATAATATTTTTAGATATGTGATGGCTTCTTCTTCGCCTTCCTTCAGCATTTCCTGAAATCCATCGCTTCCAGAAGCTTTATTCCTTTTTATTTCTTTTACTGCTCTTTTTCGATTTCTTCGTGGCTTATTTCGGGCATCACTCCTGAGTTAACATTTGTTATCTGAAGAGTTAGAGGGATCATTTCTGGAACAGTACAGATTGGCGTAGAACTTTTGAATTGAGTTTGCAATATCAGATTTACTTTTTTCTAGTTGTCCTTGATAATTTTTAATCGTTATTATGTTTTTCTTTCCTAGTTTCGGTTTGATGCATTTAAGACTTCGATTTTTCTCTATGATTTGTTCTATACTCGATTATTAACTCGACTTAATACTCGATTAAGTTCCTTAAATTCTGCAGTGTCTCTTTTGTTTTGTTTCAGAAGATATTTTCTTTGTTTCAGCATGTTTTGTGATTCTACACTTATTTTGGATTTTCGTTTTCGGTTAGCGGTTGCCACTTCTGAGCTTGTATACAAATACATTGTATAGTAGGGAAGTTATCAATAGTGCATCAGTTAATGTACAAAAAATAAGTACTTTGTGAACTGGCTGAGTTTCAGGACTTTTACATCTTTTTACATTTTTTTGTATTTCGTCGTTAGGAATAAAATACTTTCAATGTGCACATTTCTGGTAATTCAGATTTTAAACTGTTCTGTATCCCTTTAAATATTTTCCGTCTAGAAAAATATCGAATGTGCGTACCGGTTCCTAACTTCACTAATGTCTACAAATGCATTTCTCCAATATAAAATAAATCCAATGTGGTTAAAAGCACATTTGAGCTATTACCTATTATAATATATGTAACTCTGCCTGTATTAGTATGGGATGAATTGAGTAGCTCTATTACCGATGCAGCCCATCCCAAACTCAGATAAAAAAGAGGGACACAGGAGTAACACCTCCAAAAAAACCAGGGAATATTGGATAAATTTCTGTAAGAAATGTATCCAAGTTTTGCTGGTAGCAATTAACTTACAAGTTTTACAATCTACCGTAGATTAGCTTTCTCCAAACAACTCCAAAAATTTCCTTGTTAGACAAGGATCCAAAAGGTCAGTTTTACCTACGTCTGTATAGAAATATCAAAGTTGTCCATCGACCCTCGCAAATCCCTTGCAATAGTCAGGTATTGAAAATCGGACTTTTAAGTCAGTATAATATTGTACCCCAGCTTAGTTGGTCGCTCTCGCATATTAGTTAGTTTTTAGTTTCGAATTCGATCCAATTCGACGCATTTTTAGTTTAAGAGTTTTTAGATTCTCGCGTATCAGTATCAAATTGTATCCCAGATGAGCTGGTCGCTTCTTGTTTTTAGAGTTTTATCTCTCGCATTTTAGTTATCGTTACATAGCTTAGAGTTAAAAGCTGAACGCTCATTATTTATGAAGTTTATTTATATATAAGAAAATTGGTAGTGATAATTAGTAGTAATATTTATTCTGTATCAGTGCTAGTGTTTGTAGTGTATCGCGGACCAGTGTATAGACAGTGATCGGCTATTTCAATAAAGAACTTGCGCTAAAACTTGAGATAGAGATTAACTTAGTTTTAGTAACATTCAATTTTTAAATTACGTATTGTTTGAACTGCTTGTGTTCTTATTTACCACGCCAGTAAGTGGTCCTTCGAATTGAACTAGAATTTACTAAATTAGGTAAATAAATGGCCGTTTAATTCTACCATTTTAAACAATAAAAATGGCATTAAGATAGTAACAACAGAGATGGGATGACTGCGAAGATGCTGCAGAGTAACAAGAATGGATAGGAGAAGTAATAACGAAATAAAGCAAAGAACATCAATAGAAACAGACATAC